AAACGTACTATACTGTGTACTTACTGTAATTTTAGATGTTACAAAATATATTTTTATATACAGTTCATAATATTGTTTGATTATAGCGTACTTGGATGATTAATTGCCTGTAGCATTATTGTTTAGCTATTTCGTTTTAGCCTATCTTATTCAGTTGACGCAACATCATTTAACCAACGAAAGTGCGCGATGTTTCGTACTCCGACTTTGACCGTTATTTACTGGTTGTTATAACTAAAAAAATTGGCCAAATCAACCAAAATATTATTGGTGAATATCCGTACCATTTGTATTATAGTTAAAACAACCTATATTTATTTGTTGAAATATGCTAAATTTGGCAGTTTAAATTTTAGTCATTTTAACTTTTGAATATAGGTTGGAATTACCTTTTTTAATTGGTCAAAATAACCATAAATTTTTAGTTCAATCAACCAATAATTAATACGTTAAAATGACATATTACAGATTTATAGGTTAAAGTAACCATTTTCGATGGTTTGTTTTAACCTATTTAATTTTAGTTGTTTTAACCTATTAAAACAACCTATTTCTTATGGGTATAAACCAACCCATTTTTAATGGTTTGTTTTAACCTATTTAGTTCTGGTTCTTTTAACCTATTGAAATAACCTATTTTTATCGGGTTGTCCTAGACCAAACCAAATAACCTATTTTTTTTGGTTATTTTAACCTATCAGTTTTTACAGTGCAGATGTAGAACCTGAAAATTCACTCTACTTTACTTGGAGCGCGGCTAAAAACGTCGAAACTCCGTTTTCACAAATTATTGAGTTTTAGAGGCTTTGTAGCTTCATTATTTTACTTCAAGTATGTATACAACCTCACCACGTACCCGGATTCATTTTGGTGTGGTGAGTGATAAAAATATATGATCATCCAACCTCGTTCCCAGGGCTTTTGTGTGAAGACGAGCGGAGAGAAGACAAAGCCCTGGTCTGAGCCGGTCACTAGATATGGGCATATTTGACAGCTACTCGTCAAGGAGTGGCAAAATATTCTAACTGAAAAATAAAAGTTTTCGAAACAAATAAAAAGCCAAAACACTTCTCAATCGATCAATTTTATTTATGTATAGAGAAATAGTTTGGCTTGAATCAGCTGAAATCTCTGAAGACACCGTCGATGTTTTCTAAGGTATACCGATATTTCTGGAGATTTTCAACCACAGTGACAGGCAAAGCCAAAGGCACAACTGCTGTATCTCAACATGATTACCAAGTACATATAGGCGTCTCCAAATGACGATTCATACGAAATTTGCTTTCTCTCGTCTTGAGCAATATGGCTTTGCCTTTGAAATTTAGTTTAATTTGCTCTTAGAGTTAGTTCGATATAAATAAACACAAATATAAAACCTCGCGAACCTGTTTTACGCTGTATGTACAAGAAATACATTATACGAATTGGCTTGTTTCGAGACCAACAATTGCCGTTCAGGAGCAATGCTTGCCTACAAATTTTATCCCCATCGCAATCTTTGTTTTATTTTATCGTATAAACCCAATTTTCAAGTATTCAGGATATTCTGAAACTGTAAAATTAATTTGGTGTCGTGACAAGCAAATTTTGGAATCTTGTACAGACTAGTGAGACTACATAGCCTTCGCGTAGAGCTATTCCAGGGCCTACTAAAATTTGTAGTTTCATCTAATTGTTTGTCTTGTTTTTATTTGTCAGTATAGAATATTGGAACTAAATTAAAGTATACTACAATGCAATACACGCAGTATTTCATCAGACATCTGCATACATTATAAATTCTAGACAAAGAAAACTACAGCTTAATCGACCAAGTTTTGACGTTTCTTGTTTTGTCAAGAAATATCACAGCTAACGTCGATACGGCTTTTGAGTTTAGTAACTGGCCGAGGTGAAAGTAAATTATGCAGTCGGGAAAACTGAAAGCGGTCGTTGCTCACATACAATTCACGTTCTTATGTTGAAAGATTATTTTGGAAAATATATCGCACACAACAAACATAAAAATACGCATTTTGAATTTTCTAATATTGCCAACGGTTCTGCTATTTTTAGACAATGTGGTGTTATAGCCAATCAGAATGCAAAATTGACCGGCCCAGTCCAGGGCTTTCTCTACTCTCTGCTCGTTCTGACACGAAAGCTCTGGGTAAAGCCAAAATATTCCATTTTTGTCGTTTCTCGCCTGACCCCAATTATTAAAGTTGTTGACATAACATTGCAATCTAAATAAATGAATAACTGACAACTATAAAATTAATATAATTAAATTAAATTAAATTAGCAAATTTGACGTGCTTTATGCCGCTGACTTGCACAACCTTGCTTTTAGCGGATTCCTAACACGGTTAAAAATGGATTTAAGATCAGGATATTCTACATTTACTTTACAAGCTCCTCCAAAACGCTGGTAATTGGCCATTTCAGTGTACCAAAATTTTAAAGAATTTCGAGTAGCATACCATCGGACCTTCCTAGCTTGGATAAGTCTGCTCCCCCCCCCCACACACACACACTTTTGGGATGGATTAAAGCCCTTGCTAACTCTAACCCTAATCTAAACTTTATCTGACATTAATTTAAACTTGACGACCTTTTTCTTATTTTGTTTTCTTATGTTGCTCAAAAGCATGGACAGATTGTAAGTCATGTCGACAATTGTTTTCGGAAAAATCCGTTTTCTCACTCATAACCTAGGATAGCCGTTTCCAGGGATACGTGACCCGAAATGCAAATATAGAATAACATCTATATTGATAATTTATCGGTTTAGATCGGCCTGTCAGAAATCTCTAAGATGGTAAGCGATCATATTGGAAAACGACCTTGATAATTACTCATAACAGTGTATACTTGGAAATTAATGAATTAGCGTATTCGTATCCTTTCCGACGACAGTTTTGGGCATCGAACCATGGCTAAAAGCCGTGACAGTCAGGAAAGCATCCACATTGTTTTATTCTGTAGAGAGGCTTGTTTCGAAGCGAACGAAACTGTTCTCTGTATAGAGCTGTGAGATGTTCGCATATTATTTCATATTTGCTTTCGACTCCATGCGTTTTACTGCTAGGCCGTGAAAGTATATAGGCCTAGAGGATGTTTGCTTTATATACTGTAAATGTATAAATTTGCTGTTCCTTTTTCACCTAAAGAGTGAAGGCCTAATTGAACATGTACAGTTTTTCTTTTCATTGTATGTGAAAGTTTCTTTTAATTAACTTATTTTAATTTCATTCAGTATAAAAACTAAAAAAACTGCCTTTTCCAGATAAACTAAACGACTTATTACTCGTACTTTTTAATCAAATTAATTTCAACAAACATCATAGTTTAAAAACATTTAACGTTTTACGAAGCGTTTCGTGTTCAGTTTTACATTATAATAAAGCCCATAGAATGCAAACTAACATAATTTTATATACCTACTACATATATTTTAGAGATTGGTATTTCTGTGGTTAAAATTGTTAAAGTTATTTTTGCTGCTTTGCACAAAAATTTAAAAAAAAACAATGATCGCTATATTTGACATCATATCACAATCATGGCCTATTTTTATCTGAAAGGTTAGATTAAGATCCCGTGTTGCGGTTCTCACAAGTATGTAATTTTACCTGGTACCACACGATGGATGCTCTGTTATTAAAATAGATATAGCTGTAAAACTCTCGAGAAAAGATTGAGATATTCCGTCGTCTTGAGGTCCCACGAACAACTCATCATCAGGATATCTGCAAGGAGAGACAACAAAATATTAGGCAACAAAATTATCATGGATTTACCTCGTGCGCGGTATATTTATTTTTGGTTGTCGGAAGGGCATGTGAACATTTCTTTTGTAATTCTTAATGCTTATGGCAGTTTGTCTTGTGTTAGGTGAAATTTTTTACTTACATCAACTTTAAAGTGCATATGACATGAAATTTCTTATTTTCTTTAAGAACTCTTTAAACTGTGGTGTAACTTATTGTTTAGTTTCTTGTTTTTATGATTTGTTCCCGAGATATTTCAATAATATTGTTTGATATGTAAATGAGTGTGAATATGTCCGCTGATTTATGTCGTCATGTTGGTTGCAAGCTCAACTTACATGCACTGGTTATAAATCTATTAACTCTAAAAACTGTAGATATCTGTTCACGTTTTTTACAGTGTTTCATCACGTTTACCAGTGAGTGAAGTTAGAAATTATCATCTTGGACGATAGCAGTGACATTCAACCATTTTGAAGAGCTTGCAACCAACATGACGTCATAAATTAGAAGACATATTCACACTCATTTACATATCAAACAAATTGAAATATCTCGGGAACAAACGATAAAAACAAGAAACTGAAAAATAAGTTACACTACAGCTTAAAGAGTTCTTTCGTTTAAGAAAATAAGAAATTTCATGTCATATGCACTTTAAATGGTAAAGAAGTGTTGGAAACTGTAGATGGGTACAGGTTCAACTCCCCGGTAGTTACTCACTACCCGACGAAGGCTTTTCGTTCGAAAATTCGAAGTTTTAAATGCATTTTTATTTTGTAGCTTCTCTACCCATTTACAATGTTCTGGTGTTTTTGTCACTTTACCTAGGGGCTTTCTTGGCGCTGTCTTAGGGGCTTTCTTGGCGCTGTCATCGGAACAAACGCCTTTCACCTCTGAGATCTTAGGAAAGCAATATATATCACAATTGTTGTAAAAAATAAATAGTCTATAAGCTTAGTAGGTATATAATATATTAATATATAATCTTTGTTCATTGTTCAAAATGTACGCACGTCATTTGTCAAAATCGATCACGTGTGTTTCTGTTAACTGGGAACAACGAATCCTGCGAATGCGTTATTGACAATAACGCATAAAAAATGTGCATTATTGAAAATGGCTGCCAGCGAGGCTGCCGGCTCAAGATTTGCTCGGGTCGAAGAGGAAGAAATTAGTCAGATTATAGAGGATGCAATACCTAAAAGTACAAAAGACAAACAAGCTGGAGCATTGCAATCTAGTATTTTCAGAGGTCAGTAAACGAAGCAAAAACTTATATTATTCGCCATTTTCCGTGTGTGAACAAGTGCTCGAAAAGTTGCATGCAAGCAGTGAACTCAGATTATATATTAAATGGGTTAAAGAGCTGGTGTTTTGTTTACAAATATACGCACTTGCTGATCGTACAATTAATGAACTCGAAATGTTCAATACTGCACGCAGCTTTGCACCGTGCAGTACTGAAATTTCTCGTTCATTGTACGATTTGCGCATGCGTATATTTGTAAACAAAACACTCACAACAGTCTCTAACCCTTAATAAGTAAGCGTAATACGTGATCTAATATGTCACTGCATGAATAGTCATAATCATAAACACTACCTATACGCAGGCACAGACGGTATAAGAGATGTGCAAATCACATTTTATTAGTGCTATAGCGTCCTTGTTCGATCTGTGTTATTTTTTGCCGTTTACCAATAGCCCTTTCGTTGATAAAATGGAACATTGTCTACAGTATGAAAAGCTGTTGAGTTTACAAGACGTTGATATTTCAATGCACATTCAGCCGGTATTAAATTAAGTACTACAAATAATGAATGTTTATGAGTGCAATGGTAAGAATATTTTCATGAGGTGAAAGATGGTATGTTCCATTCAACGAGGCGACAGCCGAGTTGAGTGGAACATTCCATCTTTCACCGAATGAAAATATTCTTACCATTGCACTCATAAACATTTATTATTTGAAAAAAACATTATGTATTCTATTGCACTCTTGGGAAATGGAATTTTCTATTCAATCTCGCGTGACCATAAACAGCCAATTAAACGATCAGAATACAATAGGGAAATATAATAAAAAATAGAAAATAACCACTTCACATTACAAAAAGATCAGGAATGTGATCGGATTGTACTACATTATATTGCATCTATTTGTTAGAAATACACATACTTTGTTTCGTCTTGTAACATTTCAATGAGCAAGTTAGCTTTCTTTTTCACTGACGATTTTCTTTTGATAATTTCCTGGAATCGTTCCTTTCCAAACCTAACTTTTTTCCATTCGTAATCTAAATATCGATTACTAAGTGCGTGCACACCAGGTTTCAAGTTGTCAAACGGTTCGTTTTCTCGGTTGCAGTAATATCCAAACTCCATCTCATTAGGATTTCCAGGCGAAACATTGCCCACTATCAAGTTGAATCCTTTGTAGTCTTTTCCACTTTCTTTCACCTTTTCCAGGTATCTATGAGGGGCATCACCAGATTTGAGGAAGTCTGTAACAAGTTTCCCACGACGTTTTGCACCACGTTTCATAAATTTTTCACTCTGCCTGTAGTTCGTCAGTAATCCAATTCTGCCGTTTTTTGACATTCCCAGCCATGTTGCATCAGAGCCACTGCAAATATCAAAACCTACATGTGCATTTTAAAGAAAGTTTTCATTATCAGTTACTGTTAGAAAATAATTTTTTGCCAAAATTACCATCGATTAACACAGCAGAATAAAATTGGCTAATAACACCGCGGAAAAACGTTTGCGCATGCGTGGGACACAAAAAAGATGGCGATCGAGGAATTTAAATGCCAAATTGTAAACAAAAACATGGCTATTTAATGATTTAAGGTAATTGAAACAAACAAATAAATACACTAGACGGGTGGTTTGGACATGAATAAAAAGATTTTAACATTTAAAAACAAAAAAGAAACGGAACTTAAATTAAAAATTACCATTTAAGACCGGGAGGCGTGTGAAAATTTCCTGAAAAATTGTAGCCCGCGTGCATGCCTACCGAGGGAAGAATAGTGGGCCTGCAAGCAAGACCAGGTATAATGTACTTTCCGCGTTTACCCACGAACGCAGTATTCTAATTGGCTGTTTGATGTTGGATTCTATAATTTGATCAGTGATTCATCACAAAGTCTCTCGATAAGCTTAAAATTGGATCTGATCACTTTTTTCGATTAAAAATGGAACAAAAACAGACTGTAAGTTGTTTACTTATAGGAAGAGATATTTTTAAATGCCGTTATGCCAACGGTTATTGCTTGTCGTAAAGTGTTCGAATAGCAATATTGCGACTGGGGTATACTATAGTAACCTTTATACTTGAGTTTCATTTGTTTTTAAAAGACTTGTATAGGTTATTTTGAGGCAACGAGGGGATATGTGATTTATTCACCGAGGCGCGCAGCGCCGAGGTGAATAAACACACGTCCCCAAGGTGCCTCAAAATAACGTACTTATTTTTCACACTGCAAGGTCGCGTTAATGAGTCAGGATAGAAATAATTCTTAATGCCATATTGCCTTCGTTATTCGTTATGTTTTTTTTTTTCTCATTTTTTGTGCTGCAAAGACATTGCAGGTGAATATTAGAGGGATTATTAATTGCAGGTGAATATTAGAGGAAGTTATTAAACGGAAATTGATTAGAGGGGAATATTGAATATATTCCCCGATAAGAA